GGCTGCCCCCGCGCCCGCGGCGGCGGCAGGGTGGAGAAGTGAACGTACGGGATTTCCATCCGGGAGGAGGAAAGCGTTGGAGGGGAAATCTCTCCTCGCTTCCTTTCCTCCTCAGGATCTGGCAGAGGCCAATCGCTCTTTGTCTGTTCCCACTCCCCACCCAGCCAGTGTCCTCGGTGCGGGCAGGACCCTCTGGCCCACTGGCTAGCAGAAGCAGTCACCCGCCCAGTGGGGCTCTACATCGTCCCCGGAGTGTGGAGCGCACGGAGCTCCTGCATCAGTCTCCAGTCACCGTCCTCGGGTCAGTGCCGTTCCTCCGGGGCACAAGTGGCAGGGCTTCTGCGTGGCTTGGCTTTATTTCATTTGTAGTGGTTCCAGGCCGTGGAATTGACTAAGTCCAAGTTCACGAAAAGGTATGACTTCCTCCCCAAACTTGGCAAGGATATTTGTAGTGGAGTGACTATCTGTAAAGTCTTTGGCACAACCATGATTTGCAATTTACTATTTTTATTAAGTATTTTTTCCTCGAAACCGGATTATCTACTGGGATCTCATCCTGTTTATCTTCTGTTCAAGTGTCATCTTTTGTATCACGTATCGGTGACGCATATGAGAGGCAATGAGCCCTGTAACTCTCTGGGTTCAAATATCAACCTAGCTGTGGCAAGTTACTTAACCTCTCTGTGCCTTAGTTTTATCATCTATAAAATGGAGCTAAGACTACCTACCTCATGAGCTAGCTGCCAGCATTCAATAGACTAATATGGTAGAGTTCTTATAAATGGCTGGCACATACCAACCAAAAGCTATTGTTATATTATTATACTGATTCTAAATTAGCTAAGTAGACTTCACAATATAAAAAGATCAGGAACAAAATGCATTTTTTGTATGCTATATGTTGGGTTGGCAGGTTAGCTCACTTGGTTAGAGCATGGTGCTGAGAACACCAAAGTCAAGGGTTTGGATCCCCACACCAGCCAGCACACCCCCCCCCCCAAAAGAGAAGTATGTATAATGAAATAGATGTACATCATCAAAATTTAAAAGTGTTTTTGTTAATACCTAAATGTAAATATGATACATTTCTATGTCATCTGGACCCTTTTATTTCAAATAATTATGAGATAATTTACATATAAGCTTTAAACATCATTTAAAGAAATTTATAACCTTCAAAAGAATTCATTTTATAAAACAAACATACATAAAAAATACATGTTAGGTCATAGTATATACAGAACATCTAATATCTTTATGAAAATACTGCATTGAGTCAACTTTATTTAAGAGAATCTGGAAATTTACCTTAGGAGCCAGAAGTACTAAACTCTGAGATCACTGTAAACGTTTTAACTAAAATATCTTTTATATCAAACATATAGAATGATGAAAATCAGATTACTTATTCTACCTCCTTCATTTTACAGACAAGGAAACATTCAGAGAGATTGAGTCCAGGCCAGAGAACTCCAGCTAATTAGGGGCTGAAATATGATTAGAATTAGGTCTTCTGACTTGCTCTTCAGGGTTCTCATACCCCACACTGACGATTTCCTATTTACTACAGATTTGTGAACCTTTAACAAACATGAAACTAGAAGGTATACACAAAGAAAAAATATGCAAGCATGCATTATTTCCAACACCAAGAAAGACCAGGCAGTAATGCCATGGCTACTGTGGTCAGTCACACAATAAGACATGACTGCATGGCTTGCCTCAGTTTGGCCAGGTCACAGATCAAGCGAGAGGCAGAGCCAGCTTTAGAATTTAAGGCCTCATTGGCGTCGACATTTGGTTGTATATTCTATTCATCTCTCGCAGCAGTTTTATACTAGAAATCCTTTTTGAGCTTTCCTTAATTCTTAAATTCTTCTTCCTGCTGTCTTTGAAGGTCTTTCCTATTAGAAAGCCTTTTAGGAAAGGTCTTCATAATTACACAGAAGCGTATTTTATTATTCCAGATATTGTGGACTAGCAAGAGTAAAAGAGAAAAAAGCTTTTTTTATTTTAATGCAATAGCCTGTTACTGGTTTCATTCCAGGCACTTGAATATTAATTCCTAAAATTCTATTGTTCTTTCATTTCCACATGTGGCAGTTGAACAACATTCACCTTCCATAAGCAGATGCAGATGGTGGCTTAAAGGTCCAGCCCTGAATGGTTTAGGAAGTATATTGCATAGCCTTTCCACTGAGCATCTGGTCTTGCAAAGTTATTTATAGGAATAGTGTCTCTTCCAGAGAAGAGACTTCTAGGAATTAGGCCTGCATGCTTGACGAAGAAAACCATGGTTCTCTCCAGCACATGAACTGTGTATCTTACTATTGACTTTGCATCTCAGGATATCTACCACATGTTCTTAGATAGAAATATGGGCATTAAGTAGGGAGTGGCTTTCTAGCATGCTCCTAAGCCGGTTTGGCAGAACTGAATTTCGAAATCACATATGTCAAGTCCCAATAGGATTATGTTGTGAATCACTGTCCAATTGGGAATATTTCAGATTGGTTTTCAGTGCACCACCAGTTGACTCACACTGTGAGCTTCTATTCAGATAAGTGCAGTGCCAGTCAGTAGCTAATAGAGTTCATTCTGAGTCAGAACTTAGCATTTAGTACAATAAGAATGAGTCACTGACTACCCAGCACCATCTGAGATGGTCCCTGAATGTTACCTTGAGCAGATAGCTCAAGAGTTTAGACAACACTGCATGGGGTGAGTCAGTTAAAAGCACAATTGTATGGGCTCTTGTAGAGGCCATTCACAATAAAGTATGATGTAACTGAGTGCTCAAGGTAATATTACATGGTCATGAATTTATAGAACAGATTACCTTGATTCTAATCCAGCTGATTAGATCCTAGCTATTTGC